CTCATGATATGCATGAGATTGTTTGATTTATATTACCTCATGAATATGCATGGAATTGTTGATATTACCTCATGAATATGCATGAGATTGTTTGATTTACATTACCTCATGAATATGCATGAGATTATTTGATTCATATTACCTGATAAGTATGCATGAGATTGTTTGATTTATATTACCTCATGAATATGCACGAGATTGTTTGATTTATATTACCTGATGAATATGCATGAGATTGTTTGATTCATATTACCTGATGAATATGCACGAGATTGTTTGATTTACATTACCTCATGAATATGCATGAGATTGTTTGATTCATATTACCTCATGAATATGCATGGTCATGACCAACTATTCAGACTAGTTTCTTTTTATTCAAATCTAATGAATATAAATAGACGATAGAGAAATACTAACATATAACTAATATATTATGCTTAACTCCATAGAATGACATCAATATTCCAACCAAAATGTTGGTACATTAATTTTTCTAGAAGTATACATTTTTGTCAGATTTGCCCCAATCAATATTATAATTTCCCATTCCCTACATGACTGATACAAAATATAAAAAAAATTCTGTAAACAATTACCATTTATACTTTCTTAGTGGATCACATTCTTAGTTATTTAGTGGCCTTCTATCATTAAACCAGATGCATAGGAATCACTGATCTTGGGTAACCGGTAACTGGTTCTGACCACATCTCTCCAAAATGAAAGTTTCTTAATACAATTTTGAAAAGTATAAACCAATATACTAGTTTATTTCCCATCTTTAAGTACCTTCATGACATTTTGTTGCCCATTTTTTGCATCACATGAACAATGTTCGGTGTTCACCCGTGTTTTGTGCAGTTTCTTATTTGATTTTGATGCACACAATACAAAATTTACCCCTCCCCCAAAAATAACTACCCCCGGTACTTGCGTTTCATGTGCCACAGTTTTGTTGATTAACCCCTTCGACACATTAATTTAAACACATGCACTACTAACAGAGCAAATATGGTTTTAAAAGTTTTATTGCATAAAAGGTCAAACTGTCATGACCTGAATAAGTAAAACAATTTCTATGGAAGACAATCATGGCTGAATGTTGGATGACACCTGTACAATGCCTCATGCAGCAAAATGAAATTCTAATAGTGCCAATAAATTGTTGGCAGTAATATCAAAACTCTGATCTGAAAAAGAAATCTATATTCCCTTTTATCAATATACAATAAAGTTTTCCTTACTTATTCGTTTACTGTATTTGCTCTATTAGTAGCACATATATAAAGCAAATATTTTTTCATAATGAATCGTTAAATTACAACTTAATTTGCCCATAGAACATGCCCATATACATACACCACTAATAGAGCAAATACAAAATTATTTTTAATTATTTTGAAGGATCACAAGCACAATTAGTTCATCAAGTGAACTACTTCAGTGACCCATCATTGTCGCTGGCCATGGAAAAAAACTGCATCAGCCATTATACAATTCAACATTACCAAATTTAGAAACATATCCTACCTTCGAACAGCATGAAATTTAGGTAAAATACAGGACAGAATAAAAAGTTGAACACCAATAAAAATACGAAGTATTGCCAGAACTAATCCCAAAGGAAAGTAGAAAAATAACAAAATAGAGCTGCTGCCACCATTGAATCTGTCAATAACAAAAAAAAAAAAAAAAATTATTATATGATGCATGTAAACAAAAATATATAAAAAGACAAACTAGTGACAAAACATTCCAGCAATGTAACTGCACAATTTGAAAACAAGATGTGTACCCCCGATATGTCTGTATGTACCATTACATGGATTGATGGATAGTGTTGATTGGACAGTTGATTTTCTGTTCACATCGAGATCTTTGTTTTGTGTGAAAGAAGCGGACCGAACATCTACCACAAAAATCAAATGATTTGATTTTGGTCTCAATTTTTTTTTTTTTTTATAGCTCACTATCAAAATGAAGGGAATATGGCACTGAGATGCACTTCAGCAAAATTAACCATCATTGAATGTGTATAGCACATTATTAGGTATGGAGATAAATAACTCTTAGTTTTGCATTTGTTGAATCCTGAGCATTGTGTTTTGATGCCACTATGATCTTTGTTTTTCCATTCAATTTCACGGTAAATAGTTCACTAAATTCTGGACAATTGATTACATGCTAACTTTATTAGTCTTGTGACTACATGTAGGTTTTATTGTCTTCTCTTGGCGGCCAATCTTTTGCAGGTGTACACAAGAACTGATTATTCATATCTGAAGATAAAATAATGCCATAATTTGATTGCTAATGCTGTTATTAAATATCCAAGTAGACATCAGGAACTAGTAAGCAGGCAACATTTTTACCAGACATTTGCATTGGAGTTGGCAAAAATATTAACAAATGATATCACAGTGTGACAGCCTATACTTTGTTGAACGTTTTTCAGGCATGAAGTAATTTTGGTCACAAACTAAATTATGGCATGTATTATCTATGTTGGATCTTGTTGGCAGTCTGGGTAAACTGTAATCTTACCTTGAACTGTCAAATAATTCTTCAATAGCTGGTTTATCCATGACAAAGCAATTTTTTCATATTACTTTAAAAAGTATTTCTAAAACAAATAGAACAATGAGTAGTGTCAAACCTTCAAACAAACATGCAAATCACTGCTACACATTCTGTTCTCAAGCCACTAGAGCAATAGTGAAAATTATTTGTTTCCTATATTACAGGGTCAGTTAATGGGTTTTGAAAAGAGATCTCTGTATTAAAATATGATGCTTTTATTTCTGTTAGTGCAATTCCCGAGCAAGAAAGGCTACATAAACATTTTTTCTCATTCATTCATTTTGACTATGTAATGCATGTGGTTTTCCACTAAATGAAGTCGAGACTAACACCTGATTGGGATCCCTGGCTTTTAAGACA